TATTAGTTTTATTCATTTATTTAGCATTTCTCTTTAAATAGATTTGCCTTTAAAAAAGCACACAATTTTATTTTCAAAGGAAATGCTATATTATGTCCATAAATCACAGTTTGGTGTGCTGCTTATATATTTCCAACATGCATCAATTGTGAGCTATTAAATTAATAAATGTTCATGTATATACCCCCTAAAATAATCTTATGCAGCATCAATTACACATGTGCCAGCCTCTGGGAAGCACTGCAGCATGTTAGGTAATGATCACACATTCCTAGAAGGACAGCTTCTAGATAAGAATGTGGAGGCTCAAAGGGTCACCTGCTCAAAGTCCCACAGGTGGAAAGAGATGGGGTTGAGATTTGAATCCATACAGTCTACCTCCAAATGCCTAAGCTCTTTCAATATCAGTGCTTTCCAAATGCATTTCTTTTAAATCCAAAGAATCTTTTAAAAATGAAAATGTACAAAGGTACTTTAAAAAGTTCATGGAAAAATAGAATTAAAAGATAACACTACTCTTTCCTTGAACTTTTTGAAGTACTCTTGCATATGGAAATCCAATATATAAAACAGATAGAAGCGGAGCTTTTGTGATTGAAATGGGGTGGGGGTGGGGTCCAGAGTTCTTCTTTGGGGCCTTCCTTTCCCAAGCCCATCCTATAATGGCCTTTGGGGGCCCTTCTTAGAAGCCTGGGACTCTGAGGAACATTAGAAATATTTTAAACCCACACTGCCCCACACTGCCCTTTGACTCGATTTAGTCCAATTTTCCCTGTGGTCCAAACTCTCAAGGGGCACCTTCTTGGTCTCTGTTATCCTTTCTGGCTGGGGATTTCTACCTTGCACCTTGGCCATCTTAAGATCTTGAAGTTTTCCATCTTGCCACCTTGAAATCTTCCACTGGCTTTCTAAACCTTACTGTGACCTAATTATTCATTCATCAAACACCGATGTCTAATGGGTACCCAGATTTTCAGAGGGCACAAAGGGGGGCTGAGAAGAATAGAATATATGAGATTACTTCAAAAAATTCATGGAAAGATTTGTATTACCTTTTAATTCTATTTTTCCACAAGCTTTTTGAAATACCCTTTTATTCGCTTTGATGGGCTCCCATACCAGTGTGGGAGACAGACACAGTCGTGGCCAAATATAATAAGGGTCTGAGCAGCCCCTGCTCATCTGAAGCTCATTGTCTTCCCAGTCCCTGTCTCCCTCCGGTGTCTGGGTGAGTTCTGTGGCATGCAGTGCCAGAGGTGGGGCCAACCAAGGGGCCCAGCAGTGCTGGCTGTCCTCTACATTGTGATGCCAGAAGTCTTACTGATTTCTCACTATGGTTCCTGGGTACTGTTCCCTTCAGCAAACACTGCCTGATGTATGCCTGGAGTTAGAATCATACTTCACTCACATCCCGAAATCCTCACTCCAAGAGGAGGAACAACTTACAACTGTCCTGCATCTGCAATATGAAGCTCTGCCGGGCTCCTGGCCTCAGCCTGTTTTCTCTCCTCATTGCTGAGTCTCCTTGATCCTCCAACCTAGAGACCATTCTCCCACTGAAGTGGGTACCCACAAAGGGCCCGGCTATGCCAGGAAGAGAGTGATGTGTCACCTTAAAAATATGGAAAGATCCTGGCAGAGTTCCAATAAATTTTAAAGATTCCGAATGGACATTCAGATTTGTGATTCCCCCTGATCAAGCCAAACATCATGACATCCATTCCCTTATTCCTGGCTATGGCCCTGATCCTCTCTGAGGTGCCTTCATCTTTGGAAGGCCCTGTAATGTTCCCAGAACATCACCCTTGCATTCTCCCCTGTGCTGTGGGACTAGGTCTTAGCCAAACCAAAGTTTCAGGAAGGTTCTTTCTTGGTAGGCCTGAAAGTTGGGTCCATTAGTAAACTTAAAACAACTCATGTCAATTCAAGCCAAGTCAACTCAGGTCAACTCTACCCAGGCCAAACCAAGTCAGTCAACTCAACTCAATCCAACTCAACTCAACTCAACTCAATGCATGCTTACTGTGAACCTCTCTACCTGTTCCATACTACCCCAAGCCATGCTTAGTTGAGGGAATGGTAGAACTCAACAGTTCACAAGACAAAATCTTGACTCTCAAGGAGTTTTCTGTTTTGAACCTAGATTCCAGACTTAAAGTTTCCCTTGAGCTGAGGGGACCCCTTGCACAAGGGGCTGAAGAAAGAACCTCATTTTCTGCCTGGAGACAGGCCAACCAGCAGCCCAACCCCTGGGGTTTATTTCCGGAGACTTTTCAAACCACCTTCCCGGGGTTGTATGGCCTCGAGACCTCAGATTGCAGAGTCAGTTGGTCCCTCCACACTTCAGGATCTGGCTCATGTGGGTTATGAACCATTCATTCATTTGTTCATTTATTCACAAACCTGCATCGGGCACTTACTATGTTCCAGACACCTTACAGACATTATCTCATTTAATTCTCATAGCAATCAGCGTAAATGCAGAACTGGTAAGTGGCCAGCTAGAATTTAACCGGACCCTAATTCCAAAGCCTGTGGCACTTACTATGTTCCAGACACCTTACAGACATTATCTCATTTAATTCTCATAGCAATCAGTGTAAATGCAGAACTGGTAAGTGGCCAGCTAGAATTTAACCGGACCCTAATTCCAAAGCCTGTGTTCTTTCCATCTCATCCCACTGTTTCTTAAAAAGATTGAGTAGAATCTACAACGAACAATAGAGATCACTGAATGCTTAAACAAACATATTCTATATGGAGGGAAAGAGTGGATTCATGAATATTTTATGTAAGGCCAAATCCCACCTGACCAGTTTATTAGAATTCTTTGAGAAGTGAACTATATAGGGAGATAAAGGATGATGTTCACAAAAAGCCTTTGTCAAGTCTCCATCCCAAAGCCTATTAATAAAATTGATTCATTATAGAATTGGGCAGAGGTGGGTGGTGAGTGGGAGGGAGTCTATTTTTGCAGGGATAGAGAACTGGCTTAGAGACAAGAAAGAGAGGGTGGCGATAAATGGGTACTTTTTCAAATGGAGAACTAGGGTTCCCCGAGAACTGGTACTGAGTTTGCTCTTCTGTAACACTCAGTACATATACATTGAGCACTCAGTGTGTGTAGGTCCTTCACTAAGCATGGGGACAGGGGGTTGTACCAAAATAAGTGGGACTCAGCTCCTGTCCTGGAGGAGCCCAAGGAAGGAGGTGCTCAGTGACAACTCCAAGTTTTCAAGGGACAGAAAGCTCCTCAGGGGGCTGCAATGACAAGACATTGGAGATAAAACTCAAGAAGGTGGCTGAGGGAGTGAAAAGATCCCCAGACAGCAATCACAAAATTTGAGCTGTAGTACCGGCTCTGTCACCGACTCTCTGTGCGACACTGGGCAGGTCCCTTCCTCTCTCTGGGTCTCAGTTTTCTCTCCTATACAGGGAAGGAATTGGACTAGATGATCTGTAAGGATGTGGTGCTCTGGATAGAGGACAATGACTTGAAATTGGAGATGGTTATGAGAAAGTCTCCATTTCTTCTGGTCAAAACGCCCCCTTCTGTCCTTGCCCTGTGATGGGGGGACCGTTCTCTCTCTCTCCTTCCCTCCCATTTGTGAACAGTGGAGATGAGGCAGAGAGCCATGAGGTCTGTGAGGCTGGGGCTCAGAGCCCAGCCTGGAATTCCTCAGTGGCATTCGCTGCAAATGACTCAGCATCATAAATAGCTCCCATCTGGATGAGCCATGATATCTATAGCGATCGAGCGATCTCTATATCCACACACACTCTCTCTGTGCAAATATGTGGCTCACTGTAGGCTAAATACGAGGTGGCCTGGAGACGTTCCTCCTCTTAAAAGACTATTTGGTATGAAACTCAAGACTGTTTATTTAAAGAAACAAGTTTACAACTATGCAGGTTGGATTACTGGTAGTGGGCGGTAGGGAAGAGGCAATGTGGTGAAGAGCCGCTGGGTGTGATCTGAGCCGTGTGGCCACCTGGGAGAGGGGCTGAGGTTGACTTCTCCATCCTTTGTCCCTCTCTCTACAGCAGGAGGGGGTGACGAACACCACACATTAGATGCTTGAGATCCTGGGGTGGGATGGGGGGGTGGGAGCTCATCAGTGCAGGAAGCTGTGGTTCAGCAGAGAGAATAGGACCTGGTGGTGACAGGAGAGCCAGGTTCCAGCCCAGCCCTACCAGTTCATCAGTTCATTCATTCATTCATCAGGCACATACGAGCACCTACAATGTGCATGGGCCACTGGGATGCAGACAAGAAAAATTAGGTCAGAATTCAGCCTTTGTCACCTACCGGCCATGTGTCTTTGGACAAGTCCTTTCCCCTCTCTGAGATTCAGTTTCCTCATCTGTAACTGGGGATAATAATATCCACCTCAGGCTTATTGGGGGGGGGGCATTGAGTAAGATATTGCACAAGAAAGCACTTCTCTGTTGTAAACGGCTTTGAAGATGCAAGCCAGCACCTTTCCACCACGTTGCCCAATTGTTCCATCTCATTCCAACTTAGGAGTATTCTTGGTGATTGCAGGAGAAAATGTCATCACATCGCCCTTCATCGGGGTTCCGGGGGTGGGAGGCGCCCTGAACATACCCATGGGTGAGACCCTTACCTTTGCTTCCTGGCTGAGCTGGGATACAGGGGCCTTCAGTCACTGAGCAGAGCAGACAGCATGTCAGAGATGCACAAATTCCTGGAAGATGAGAGAGGATGCTGAGGGTTGAGGAGAGAGCTTGTGCGGGAGTTGCCTTCCTGAATGGGCACGGAACCCCAGTCCCCAAGAAGGCATGCGCTCACCTCTCCTGAGGCCACCCCTTCTTCTCTTGGTTCCAGCAAAGGCCTGGGCAGGATGGGCCTTCCTGAATGGGCACGGAACCCCAGTCCCCAAGAAGGCATGCCCTCACCTCTCCTGAGGCCACCCCTTCTTCTCTTGGTTCCAGCAAAGGCCTGGGCAGGATGGGGCCCTTCCTGGCATCAGGCCTAACTCCTGGCCACCCCAGCTAATGTGACAGCAGTTACCCATGTTATTCACTGGTTCAGGCAACACTTGTATTATACCACAGACCACCCTGTTCTCTGACTTAAATGTGATTTCTAATCTGTGTCAATGGATGGAATTTATTGTCAATTACATCTGGTTTTGAATTCTGGTTTTAAGGGCATTCATTACATCTCTCTGAGCCTCAGTTTCCTCTTCTGTAAAATGGAGTTCCTAATAGTACCAACTCCATGCATTAAGTGTTTGTTATTATTATCGTTGTTGTTAAATAAGATTATGTCTGTGGAGATGTCTGTCACATTGCAGCCCCTCAAATTTTAGTTACTGTCCTCTGCTTTATTGTAGGGGGCACCAAACATTCCTCAAAATGCCAGGGTTGGCTCTTGCAGGACTTTGTTTCCAGAGCCTTGCACAGGCCTGACAGAATGTAGGAACCCAGTAAAAACTTGTTGACTGAGCACTGCTTGACAAATTTGCTAAATTTACCGTCACATACTTAGGATTAGTGAGGTTGATATTCTATCCACATTTTACAGATGATAATACAGGTGCGGAGAGGCGGGGACGATCTTCTCAAGATCACACTGGGGTAAGTGTGGAGCTGGAATCAGAACTCCCAATTTTCGCTCTTTCCAGCTCTTGCTTTCTGCTGCAGCCAGGGTCTCTCTGAAGAGACCCACAGTGTTTGCTTGGAGATCCCCCTGGACACAACCTGTCACCTCCTCCCTTCACTCTCTATTTCCTCTTCTTTCAGTAACCACAGTCCTGCTCACAGTGGCTCCAGGAAGCAGATATATTGTCTCATTTACAGAGGTGGGGACTGAGATTCAGAGGAGTGAAGGGTTTGTCCAGATCACAGAGACAGCATAGGGCAAAGCAGCGACTCCATCAGAGGTCAGCCAACTCCTTTACGTGGCTGGCAGTCTTCCAGGACCACCCTGGATCACGCAGCAACCCGACCTCTCAGTCTCAACCACATGACCATGCTCAGCTTTCTCCATGGCACTACTATTTCCTAACACAACCCCCACCTTCCCCCACTCCTGCCCCTGCCCAATCTCACTGCTAAAACAGGAGCTCCGTGAGGCAGGGCGGCTGTTTTCCTGGAGCCTGGCACTTAGCAGGACCTGGTAAATATCTGTTCAGTGAATGAACGAATGAGTAACTAAGTGGATGGCTGACTGTGCCTGGCCATGTTCTAAATGCTGGTGACACAGCAGTGAAAAGGGCAGGCAGGATCCCTGCTCTTAGGGAACTGACAATATTTGAATTTAAAACTGGCGACTGGATTGAAAACAGGGCAGATGTTACTATTTGCCAACTGGTTGGGTTGGGGAGGTGTGGAAGGAGTGCATGTGGGCTGGAGCCTGCTGTCTGCCCAGGGAAAGATATCTGGGAGCAAATGGCAGCTTCCTTGTCCTTGGGTGGGGCCACCTGAGTGCAGGGCCAGGAGGCTGACCTTTTAGAAGGCAAGGAAAGAAAGTAGGTGATGCAATTAAGTGTTGATGTCTATCTACTGCTGAGTCCTGAACAGCTAGCACATTGTTTGGCACATAGTAGGTGCTTAATAAACTTCTGTTCAGTGAATGAAGGGTGGGCAGAGAGCATATCAGGATGACTTAGGTCTGGGGACTTGGGGAAGTCAAGAGTCTTAACTCTCAGAATTATTATGCCGTACACTTGAATGGGGCCACGCTCTTTCCAGGGCCCTTTCACGCACCCATTATTCTTACTGTGCAATGAGGGACCCATGCAGCACACACTTGTTAGTGAGCACCCTGTCCTGGCCTCTGGTGGCATTTGACATAAACAACAGAGAAATGACCCCACTTTCAGTGTATCTATTGTGGGCCAAGCCCTTCACATCTGTAATCTCTAATACCCCCATTAGCCTGGCAAGGCCAGTGCCAGAATTCCCATCACATGGAGGATAGCAAAGAAGCTTTGAGAAGTCTTGGTCTCGCACGGTTGGAACCCAAGTCTCTCATCTTACTCTAGGAGTGAGACATAAAAGCTCACAGCCTGATGGGGATACAAAGAAGAAAGCAGATAACTAAAATGCAGTGTGATACCACCCAATGCCTGTTTGTCAAGGGTGCTTCACTCTGCCAGGAGCAGCTGGGAGGGCTTCCCTGAGAGAGCGATTCTGGAGCTGAGGCCCGGAGGAGGTCAAGTGGACAGTGGAGCAGGAAGGGCTTTCCAGGGTGTGATACCACCCAATGCCTGTTTGTCAAGGGTGCTTCACTCTGCCAGGAGCAGCTGGGAGGGCTTCCCTGAGAGAGTGATTCTGGAGCTGAGGCCCGGAGGAGGTCAAGTGGACAGTGGAGCAGGAAGGGCTTTCCAGGCAGAAGGAACAGCATCTTCAAAGGGAATATGGTCTAGTCAGGGAACTTGGAAGAATGTGGTTTGGTTAGAGACTTGTGGCAAAAGATGAGACTGGCAGGTTATTGGGGTCATTTTATGAAGGGCCTTAGAGGAGCTTGGGTTTTACCTTGAGGGTGATGAGCTGCTGCAGGGCTCAGCTCTGTGTTCTAGAGACATCCTTCCGGGGGCAGTGGGGGGCATGGGGAGAATGGGAACATGAAGGTGGGGAGCCTGGGATCCTCTTCCCAGGCCACAGACAGGGAGAGGCACTAAGGTGGTAACTTTGGGGGGCAGCAAAGACGGAAGGAGTGGGTGGCTGAACTTGGTGCTTGATGAGGTATAGGGTTGAGGGAGACTGGGACTCAGCCTCCTGGCTTGGGTAGGGTCTGTGAGAGTCAACATTCCTGTTGGCTGACTCATCCTCTGGAGATTTTCTCCTAGCAATCAAGAAAATCACTGTGGCAGGTCCTGGTCTCTGCCCTAGTCTCAGCCCCAGCAAAGGCCTTTTCTGCTACCTGACTGCTCCCAAAGTGTGTCCTAGCAACCTTGCAGCCCTCACCTTGGCAACACCAGCCCTGCGCTCTGTTCCTCTGATTGGGCTAGAAGGGAAGGAAGAGCAGGATGCTTTCTGACTGCTAGCCCTGCCCAGGGAAGCAGCCCAGGGCTGCAGTGCAACCTGCGCCCCTGGGCTGGTGGGGTGAAGGCTGAACACTTAGGTGAGGGAGGTGGGTCTGGACACTGGGAAGGACTCTGGACTGTGAACCTTGCAAACTCGGTTCTGACACCAGGGTTGATGCCCTGCCTG